TGTCCAAAAACAGTCCTATGCATGGCTTTGTGGAAAGTCTATTTAGCCTCAAGCTGTTTGTCACTGGTGTTTGCATTAGCACAAAAAACATTAAAGTGGGTGCAACAAAGTCTCCTTCATTCCCCCACGCCATGTTTACATTTCAATCTTATCTGAAAGGCAGGTGACATTCTGTTTATATTCAACTATGTCACTTACTGATGTTTACAAAATAAAGTGTATAGATGACAAGAAAAACATCTTTGTTATTTAGGTAATCAAAAAACTTCATGATAATACTTTCATGCTGATTCTCTTCCTCCAGGATTGCAGAACATTTGTCACCAGCAGGATTGAGACAGGTTTTTAAAAAAAAAATACAAAACTTACAATTTAATCGTCTTTCTTCAGTAAGCACCTAATTCCTACTGCAAAAGAGAAGAAAATTATAAACCGGCAAAATACTTTGTTGTTTTCCTGGAGGGAACAGTATAATAGAGTGGACTGGGTATGGTAATAGAATTTTCCCCAATATATAGCTCTAGCATGTCCCCTGTGGTTCTATAAAAACATTCTAAAGAATGTTTCAGTAAACAAAATAAGAGAGTGATAATGGAAACTGAATTAGCAATCATTTGGACAGCCAGCTGTTTTGGGTTAATGTGCACGCCAGTTTTTGGAGATACTCCTTCTGGTTTATTTGAACATACTTAGTTTGCCATCCTGTCAGATGTTTGCAGTCTATCATACAACAACAAACAGCAGAATGCTGTGTGTGTTTTTGGGCTGCAGTTTAGCATCTCCACAGCTGACCAACAGCATTCAATACCTGATAATGACTGATTTGTTTTAAACACTTTCACTAAAAGGAAGGAATTTATCTCTTATTAGCCTCTTCATTGACACTTCTGTTTGGCAAAAAGAAATTTAGTGCTTTGAATTAGCAATGTTGGGGTAGTGAACTGTTGGGATTAATGCTTTTTTGGTATAAGTCTTCTGATCAGGTTAACTCGGGCTTGTTTTCAAATAGCATAAATAAAAGTTACATGGAAATGTTTCTGAACATGACGTTTTTTTCTGATCCAAACATAAATGTGTACCATCTGTCAGAGCAGAGAAAAAAGGCTGATGTTGAAGAGGCATTGTGGGTTTTTTAACTGTAAATGTTCAGGACTTTTAAGGGTTCATTTAGTACTTTCCATGTAGGAAAATACTTTTAACTCAAAGACAGAAAAAGTGATATAGTTCCTTACATGAAGTAAGGGATATAAAAATAAAAATTTGATAGGCCAAAGAGGGACAACATTTCACCAATAATTTCCCTTTCCATTCCACACAGTACTACACATGAAACTACACATGCTCTCACAAAGTAGACATACAAAAATAAATATTTTAATAAATGCATCTTTTATACATTTAGAGTAATGAATATGAAGGATCTGGTTGGTTGCCAAATAGTTAAATTGGATAGATTCAAATTCAGTGATATCCTTTATTATCAGTAGCAGAGGGGTTGAGTTTTCAAGTATAATGCAAGTATCTTCCAGAGCTGAAATACATAACTGCCAATGAAGACATATGAACTTAAAAGATCTGTGTTGCAACTTGTGCTCTGTGTTGTCCTGGTTAAGATGTCCAGCTCCTAGAGTAGCCAACTGTATGTATATTCATCTTCTCTCTACAAAGATAGAAATTGGATTATTGTTTTTGTACTTAGTGATATTCCTTAAACAAGCACCTTCTTACTTGATGATGAGATGTGGTTTAGAGATAATATTTGCTCCTGCAAAAGAAACAGGACATTTTTCTATAGCAACAGAGAGAATATTACACAAAATGGTCCACTATGCACCAACACAGGAGAACATATCATAAACTGCAATTTGAGCAGTATCTCTGCATCTTAATTAATCAATACAGCAAAAGAGATGGTGGATGGGAAGTATCGTCAATTGCACATCTCCAATGTCTTTCCAGTATAATTTTTAATTTAAATAAGGCATATGCACCCTACAGCATAAATTTATGCATTAGAGCAGAGATTTAACAATGATAGAGGAGCATAAAAGGTGAACAAAAATACATTGAAAATATATTCATAATTAGGAAGGATAGACTGACTTCAGGAAAAGCAAAATCCAACACAAAATAACCCAAATAATTAGAGTGTTATTTTCTGTGAGAAAGAAAAACTTGGAAATAATTCTTGTCAGTAACATTTAAATTTATATTAAATTAAGCTTTAATATTTACTGTAAAATTTCAAATACAACAATAAAATCCACAATGCAACATTAACTTCTGTAAGTTGTCGCATTATTTTCCAGAATAAAAGGCAATGATTCCTTTTAAAATTGTGACTGGAAAAGTGAAGCTGTTTGTGGGCTTCTCATTAATAGAGCAATAAAATGTATAAAATTTACTCCCCTGAATTACCAAATACTGGTACCTGTGCCAACAAACAGACTTCACACAGGTACTTATCCAGTGATCCACGCTGAGCAATTAGCATATACTCATGGGTTATTAGAGAGAAATCACTGCAGAACTGCCTTTCTGGACCATAGCTGTGAAATAGGGTGTGTTGACAAGTGACATTTCAAGGGATAAGTTTGCCCTTCCTGTTAATCCATACCCACCTGTTAGCTCCCTCACTATCTACAGCAAATGGAAGACACAGCTGACAAAGCCGCTTAGGAATCTTGTTTCTGACAAGGAGCACATCTTTCACTAGGCTCTTTATTGGCCACTTTGAAATTCTTAGGATGATCCCTAGCATTGCTTTGAATCAGGACAAATTACATGATTTCTAAGCAGTTCCTTACTACCAATAGGGAACTACCACTGATCATGACTGTTCTCTGCTGTAGCTTGTGAAATGTTAATGATATAAACACAGGCCATGTGCTGCTACATGTTCCAGTGTCAAAGACTATCAGGGGCTTCAGGACTGTTTGGGATCACTAATCTATCTCAAACCAAAGTGCATATGTCCTGATATCAATTAAGAATTTAGTAATTTCTACTTGAGTCTGATGCTGCTTTCCTATACACTGTTTTATGTGGCTTCTTGTGAAGTCAGTCGGGACTGACAGGCAAGCAGAGATCTGTCTAACCTGAGAGAGGAATGTCTTTAGGCAAGAAAATGAAATCAAGAAGAATCTTCCATGACCCCATTTATTGGGCATCATGGAGGCCCAAAACTGGTGACCTTCCAGACTGTCGGACAGACATTGATATTTTACTTCCCAGTGGCTAGCCTTATTACACTCCATTTCTGTAAGGGATTATTTCTTTTCACATGGTTCCCTGGAACACACACTCTCACTCATAAGCTCTTGCAGAGTGAAAATGGTAGCCAGATGAAAGGGGAAGCTCCTGGGGCCCTCGCCACCTGCCATCCTATCCCAAATTTAGTCTGTTTTTTCAACTGTAATAATTAACTAGCCAGGGACATTTTTGTGCCTTTTCCTCACAAAGTTGTTTATATATACCTTATATTACTGAGTAATTCTATACTCAGAAGCAAATAGATTAAAAATTTCTGTGATATGTTATACTGCTGTCCAAAGGATTTGCTTCAGAGCAGAGTTCACAATATAGTAATGATCATGTGGATTTTAAATCTGAGTATTTTGGAGACTACGGGATGCTGCATCTTACTGTAGACTAAGGATATAAGCATCTTATGATCAAAAATATTCTGGCCACTAATCTTATAATTTTAAGGTATTTTACTCAAGTATTTCAGAGAAACAGGCAACAGAAATTATTATTTTAGGATCTCAGAGTTAGGGCAAGAGTACCCCTTGCAGGCAGGTGAGCTAGGAGCTTAGAAGGATGTGGGTGTGGGTCTCCAGGGAAGGCTGATTAGGATCACTGGGGCCTCTTGTTCTTATGGCTCTGAATCCAACAGGATTCCCTATTTTAATACAAATCGAAACAAATCAGTCCACAGTTACTCTACAATGTAAAAGCTCACAATTTAGGTAGTGTGGAATCCTCACTGAAAAATAATAATTCACTACTTTTCACAAAGGCTGATACAAAAACAAGATGCTGATAGAAGCATCATAGTTCCTGTGAGATGATAGAGCAAACAAATTTTAAATTGACTGAGATGTCCTGTGAGAATCAGGTTCATGATATGCTGGTCTGTAAGAAACGAACTTAATTACTTCTTTGAAGTTTAAGGAGTTTTAAATTCCTTTTTTTTCCCCTGATTTTCTTGCCTGGCCTTCTCCCAGTAAACAATTTTAATATGCTATTAGACTGATGATCAAATAATATTTACTCATAGGCTTTTTATTCCTATTTAATTCCATGGAATTGTTATCTTATAATAAAGAAAAGACAGTGTCTTTCCAAGCATGTCCTGGCTTTAGATGCAGATGTGATTTGCCCTGAAGATATGATAAAGAAGTGACATTTTCTGCCATTGTATTTAAGAACCTAATACATAGTTTGACTTTTGTATTCTGTTTTTATTATTTGGACTAATCTTTTGTTAGCTTGCGTACAAATTTTTGCTTCTACAGAGAGGCTAATAATTTCTTTAATTATTGCACTGGATTTTTTCATTGGATAGTTTATGAAATCATTGTAAGGCCAATGAACTCATTGTTCAAAGCAAACAGGATTAAAGTTCTACTGTACTTTAACAATAAGACCCTTCCTAAACCTCCCTTTAGAACCCACAGTTTGCCTGTCTTCACCGGGATTTTGCAAATTAAATTCTGATTCTGACCTTGCATAGGACCAACATTTCCTCAATGAAAGTTTCAACAAATCCTTCTCAACATTTCAGCTCTGACCTTCTCTCTCAGTGGAAGAAAGAACATTTAAAAAAATGTTAAGCAAATACCACGTGAAAATATGGGTGGTTTTTTAGCGTCAAATCAGGCAGAAAGTTGGAGCTCTGACTTTATGGGATGACTTTCTCTGGGACAGATAATGAAATTCAGATAAGGTTCTCCAGCTGCATGAAATACAAAGGCAAGAATTTTAAACCTTTTTTTTTTTTTTTTTTTTTTTTTGCTTGAAAACATACCTGTAAAACAGAAAAAAATTTCATTTGCTCTCTATCCATGCTCAAAAGCACTGTTGTCAGGATCTTATTACAGCTTCTAAACAACATCATTGTAGTCAAGATGATTGTATTCTTCAAACAGATAAGACCAATGGACATGACAGTGTTGGAAAAAATATTTTGCCAAAGGAATTAAAGAGAGAAATAAAAACCCTAAACATTTTGTTTTTGAAAAGGGATGTGATGACTCTCAGTAAAATGTGCTTTTATTTCTCATGATTCTAATTTGGGGATTTAAAATTTTTTAGGCTTGAACATCTAACAACTTATTTTACCAACTCAGATGACTACTATCACATTTAAATGCCACTGATTTTAAGCATACTGTCAGGAACTACTCTATCTAGAGGATCAGAATCTATTTTACCTGAGATGTCAGTCCTCTTTCACTTAGGCATCAGCTAAGAGATTTTCTTGCTACTGAACAAAGTCCAAGTTCACTGTAATGGCAAAGAAGATGAGAGTGTCTGTGTTTGGGAGGAGAGTTAAAATTATTGCAGCTTTTCATGCCAATAAAAAAAAATATCTCTCTGTGAATTCAGTGTTGCTGGCAAAACCCCAGTCTGAAATAGGATTTCTTACTCACTTAACATATTCTTCTGGTGTGAAGGAATAATTTCTAACGAAACATCTTATGGAAAGCTGGTTGCTGATTTTGCTAGGCACACTTACTGAAAATTAGTTCTTCTAATTGCCAAAAATACTTATTTTCCAAATGTTTCTACCTTGATTCTAGCCAGCAAGCAAGATATACACTGATGGGTAGAGGAGGTATGAATCAAACCATGAGGTGAGTTACAATCTTTTCTATTGCTTCTGAAATGAATAGATCCTCACAGATATCAAATCAAATTTAAATTATAGTTCTGTATAAATAATCTGTTAATAAGATTTATGTTTCTGTTAACTTCCATCAGAATTGAATGTAATAATGAGGTAAAAACTAATTACATGATACCTGTAGTCTTGCACTTCTGGTTGCACCTCAAATTATTGTGTTGGTAATATACAGAATACATGCTTAAAAACTAGTTTTTCAAAAGCAGAACTTACCTGAACTATGTCATGCTTGAGTTCCAATGCTGCTGAGAGTTATTGAAAAGTGTAATACCTCATACCTATATTCTACTCTCTTCTGTTGGAACAATTTTCTTTTCATAAGTGCATGGCATTTTTCTCAGGTTTTATTAATATCTTTATAACTACTAGAAGGGAAAAGAGTAGCTGAGATTACAGTGCCTCTGACAACTTAAGTTCTCCTTCCCAGAAAAGCTTTATACCTCTTAAAATCATGTTACACTTAAGTAACAGGGAAAGAAAAGAAAAAACATTCTCTGTTTTTACTCTGCTATGTTTCTTTCAGTGTTGTGGATACCTGGTAACACTTCAGCAGGTGGAAGATCAATGGAAAGATAAACTCTGATTGCGACAGGCTTAGGATCCAGCCCTATGTATATGATTGGTTTTATTACCCAATTAGTCTACTCCTCCTCTTTGAAAAGGATTACATCCCAGACATAGATTTGCTCTAAAGAAATAAAAACAATGATAAAATCTCAAAACTCAGTATGTACAATATTGTCTGTAATTTCAGTTTTCCCCTCATTTATACTTAACATAAGGAGATCAATTTTATAATGGCTCTAAAGTGTTAGCTAAAGTCTATGAGTGTATATATATTTTATATATATAAATATATATATAAATAGTTGCTATATATATATATATATGTATAGGGGTGTATGAATACATATATATATTTATACAAAGATTTCATCTGTATTGAACTTCATTTTGTGTTCCTTTGCATACCACTGTTAAAAGTTTGCTTTTTAATCAGCACTGCCAGTACTAAAGTAAGTATTTTAAGTAGCACAGAGATGAATGGCAGATTTTCCATGGCCAGACTGTGCATTAGTTAGCCTTGTGGATAAAAGCCAGTGGTTTCTGGACTTTTGATTTTGTTTTGAGACAAAATTGTCATGTTTCAAGAAAATTAAAATTAAAGAAAAAGGATGGTTAAAGAGTTCAAGCTAAATTAAGCTTTGTTAAGATGTTTAAATGAAAATGTATATACAGAAAAAATAAGAATGCAGTCCTGCAAGTTGTTGTGTGAAACCTATTCCAGTGACTGCAACCAAATTATATGTCAGAATTACTGGATTAGAACTCTATAGGTTAAGAAATCCTCTCTTTGTTTGTTTGCTCGGTTGTTGTTGACACTTTGAATTTGCATAAATATTTTAATCCAAAATATTTGGGTAAACTACTGAATACCTTTAATTTCCCAATTCTTTCTAAACATCTTTGTTGATCCCCTGATGAGCAATATTAATGAAGTTTGAATATATGCCTGGCTACCCTTACCAGTCATTTTGACAGTGGCTCATATGGGGCTGTGTTATAGATTTGTGCTGAACACAAGATTGATAATAAAGAGATGGGGTTTTTATTACTGAAAATAGCTTACACAGAGCCAAGGCCTTTCCTGCTTTCATACTGCCACACTGGGGAAGAGACTGGGGATTCACAGGAGGCTGAGAGGAGACAGAGTCTGGACAGGTGACCCAAACTGACCTTCACTGGGGAAGAAGGAGGAAGTGGGGGAAGTGGGAGGGGGGGCAGTCAGAATGAAGGCATTTGTCTTCCCCAGTAACCATTACATGGGACGGGGCTCTGCTTTCTTGGGGATGGCTGAACACCTGCCTGCCCATGGGAAGCAGTGAATTAACTCCTTGTTTTGTTTTGCTTGTGTGCATGGCTTTCATTCTCCCTATTAAACTGTTTTTATCTCAACCCACAAGTTTTCTACCTTTTACCCTTATGATTCAGTTCTCTCCTTGATGCTGCTGGTTGTGTGAGTAGCTGCATGCTACTTGGCTCCTGTCTGGGGTTAAATCATAAAATAAAGTAAAAAAGATTGTGGAACACATTGATATTTAAAGATATAAAGGATAAAAGGGTGCAGAATAATACCTAGAGCACAGACTTTTGGACTTTGATATTTACCATGCATGCATGGCAGAGGAAGAGACAGTTACATGTCTTAACAGTTCAAGAGCAAATTTGCTGGACTGCAGTGGTAGAACAAGAAGAAAAAAAAAAAAGCCAAAAAGCAATGAAAGGAAAAGAAAAGAACACACACACAGCAAGCCCAGTAGAGGGAAGGGAAAACAAGGAGGAAAGACATAGGGAGGAAAGATCAAATGGTAGAATCATTTGCAGGAAGAATGAGAGAGGGATGAGAGAAAATTTTGCTCCACACAGACAGAAAACAGCAGATATTTGTGACCACAAAAAAAGCAAATCAGAAGGCATGTTGCCAAAGTATATTCAGGAAATAGAAAGGTTTTGCTATCAGTGAGGTGGTATCTGAGAATAGTTCAGTCAAAACATAATGTCTCACAGAAAATTTTTCTTCTTAAAAGCTTTGGTTCAACTGCTAAATACGTAGTTTACATCAGTATTAATGTCTCTGGCAGATGCCTATTGAAATAGGTGAAAAGAATGACGTTCATGTATTCGAATGGAGAAATACAGTAGATTGGAGTATGCATAGAAGCCTACACCATAGATTTTTAGCAATTTGGTGCAGTGAATGCCAGTGAAATCAATTCCACAAACATACAAAAAACTTGTAGAATTTTAGATGGTCATGCACTGACTTTATGGATCTCTGGGAAAAATGCTAAAGTCACCAAGGATCAATAGTAATTCATGTACAAAAGAAGTAGTCTCATGTGGAGGACTTTATGATAGGAATATTGTGTGGCATCCACAGAAAAAGAGCTTCTCAAAAGACAGAGACTAATATCATAGCACCTAGCTTTGGGATTATGTGGATTATGTGTTGTTCACAGATGAGAAGAATTCTAAACTAAGAAATTATATAAAATTGTATGAAGTCATGTAGAATCTAATGCTGATTCCCCAGGTGCTTTTGCTTTCCTCCTACTTCTCATAACCTTTAAGTTTTGCCTCCTGCTGGAGGTAAACAGGATAAGAGTAATCAGCTGCTAGTAAAATCCAGATTGTCAAACAGCCATATTCCTAAAATAGAACTTTTTACTAAAGAAAGTAACAGATTTATTCAAGTTGTCACATAAATTATATGAGTTGATGATGTATTTTCTTCTTTTAAATGTTCACAACAAAAGGGATCATAACAAATGTTTGCAAGATGAATCATCTCCACTTCATTTTTATTTTAAGATTTAACAATCTTGTACAGTTGAATCCATCCAACCAACAAACAAACAAATCCTCTAACAAAAGTGTGTTTTCAAGTCTTCTATCATCACTTGGACACTGAAATAAAACCCCCAATTCTTTTAGTGCTAGTCATTCCCCCCCCACACACACACCTAGAAAAACCCACAGCACAACTCTTTTGTAGACAGTATGGAATATTGAAATATTTCTGTATTCATAATCCTACAATGAATGCTACAATGATTTGTCTAAATTCTGTTTTTCTTTAGACAATATTGAAGACTTCTATGAATGTGAACAGAAAGATACAGGCAGTAGTTTGCAAGGCTTAAGCTTAGTGCACAAAATTTTGCTTCAATGAGCCTTCTAAAACTGACAAAATATTTAACATCATATTTCTTAGAGCAGTTTACACAGAGAAAGGTATCCAAAAGAGCATACTTCTGATGAAGGAGACAAGTAATCTGATGAGCTTCCTTCGGAAGAAAAGAAAGTCCTTCAAGGATGACTGAACCAGCCTAACAGATATTTTCTAAGCTCCTTCTGGAAGAGGCTTTGTTTCTGTGTTGAGTCTAAAGAAAACACAGTGAGAGAAACAAACCAATAAAACCAGCCTCTGTGACTAATCTCCTTTGAGTTAAAACATATTGATTCAAAACTTTGTGGTGCAGTGTTTGTTCACTGGTCAAAGCCTGATATGAGTACCAGAGCAATTTAGCTACAGAATGCACATGACTTTGATTAACCATCAAGCTAACAGAGAGAACAATCCCATCCCCTCTAGAGAAGAGGAAAAGAAAACAATTTCTAGAACATTTCAAATCAGGCAGCTAGTCTCTTCTATCCTCTAGCTAATAAGCTACTCTCTGCATGAGTCCTCTTTTTGACTGGGAGACTTTTAAATCTGCCAGCTGGAAAACAGGCTTCCATGTGGCTTCTCATCTCTGGTACCTATTTGTCTTGACAAACAGGGCCAGCTGCAATTCTGGGTCTTTAAAGAACTTTGTGGCCTCTATAGTTGCCCCATGTATATCACTGCAGTTAATGAAGATGTCTTAACACCCCAGCAGAGGATTCACCTAGTGGAGAAAATACACCATACTTGCACAGGATCTCCTTCATGCAGAGTATAACAAGGATATTCACCTTAAACTTTCAAACCTTATAGATATTCGGTTCATTCGAAAAGAGTTACAACACACCATCTGCTCTCAGTCAAAGCAAAATCTAAACAGAATAAAAATAACTTTAAAATCATCTTTTTGCTCCTTCTGAATCTCTTGAGGTTGAGCACAGAATTAGACCTCCATGTTATTTATACAGAAATCTGAGGCATGCTGGATGCTTCGTAGATCAAATGCAAATGACATTTTCTCAGACCTTAGAAGATAGTTTAATTTTAAACTAGCTGCAAGTTATAAAAACTGGATAAGGGGAGAAGGAGTGAAGGAGGAAAAATGTTACACTAATATTAAAAAAAAATTAAAAGACCCATGCTTTGTAGTTCTCCTGTAATAACTCTGCTCACAATTTTTCTTGTAGTTTATTTTTAACATACTTTCTTCTAGGATGAAAGTTAAAAAAATTTCCCTCTATGTTATCTCCATCCATGATTTTGTGGCATCCTGAATTGGCATTTCTCTCCCTTTTATTTAATTACCCATAACAGCAGCCTATCAGTCCCTACTTATACCACTTTACAAAGCAGACCACTTAAAAACCAATTTGTGGTGTGCATATAGAGATATAAAAAGGGAGAAACATGCTGTATAGGGAAACGTACTCACTCTTTATCTTAGGTTGAGTTCCTTAGTAAATTTCATGACTAGGTTAATAAGAAACCTATACTGGAAACACACACAAAGCCATGAAGATTCAGATTGTCCTTTTTTAATTAGTATTTTCTGTGATTTACTGTACTCATAAGAAATGTTACAATGGGCATCATCACCGTATCAGAGCAAAAGCTGGACAAATGGGACTAGATATAGACTTTTTTATGAATCTGTTACAAAAACTTAGGAAATAAAGAAGAAAAAAGTTTGAGTGTAATCCATAACACTCAGAATTCAACAAACTTAGTTGCCAGAGTAAAGCAGTCAGTCTAAGTCACTGGGCAACTCCTTTTTTTTTTTATAGTTGAGAAGGTGCAGTGCAGAGGATCAGCTCACTAGCTTTCTCTCTTTGGCAGAGGCTTGTCTTCTTTGCTGCATCTTGGTCTACATATCTGCTTATTTGCTTTCTTCAGAGATCTATAGTTTTCATTTCTTCATATCAATTGGGTATAAGACTTACATTTCATGGGACAGAGACATATTACTTACTGGTATAAATATTGTTTCTAATGTACATTGGACTTGTATAGTTTGTATGTAGCATATTTGCATAAAGATATGAATAATAATATGGATTGATTGAGGTATTTGAAACAATAGAAGTGCCTACTTTCTACTGAGCATTTTTTCTACTGTTAAAATGTTATAACACTGTACAGCAAGTGATACTTCTATGTGTAACTTGCATTCAACATCTCAACATATGCACAATTAGCATCAAGCTACTTGCTAATGAGCTCACATTAGAGCTCACAAGATTTAACATCACATTTTTGTTGATCTTTATACTACATCAGCTGCTCCTGTTCCTCTTTTGACTCTTGGCTGGTAATAAGGATTCAGTCCATCAGACATTTCAAAATGTGCAACAACTCAGCAAAACAGATTGGTTATGCTGGATTGGCTGCAAATAAGAAGGACATGACCACCATGAAGCTCTAGTAGATGTTTTGTGCTGGTAGATATATACCCCAGTGCCTACTGGTCACTCTGACATAGTGACCATCACTGTCAGCTTGAAAAAATTCCCATCAGGGAAGAAAGTGCAGGACTGCTGCACAGTTGCATTAATGTGTGTGAAAGAGTGTGTGAGCCATGAGCCAGTGTCTTGTGTCCTACATTATGTATGACACCTGGCACACCTGTAGTGTTACGGTGCATGTTTATAGCAAGTCATGGATCGCCAAAAGACCAACCATACCATATGATACACCAATCTTCAATATAGCAATAATTTCTAACAACCTAGATTTATTTATATCTTCTGTGTAAATGGAGAACAGTTGACAACATTACAATAAAAAAGTTGTGATACTTGTAAAATGGGAACTCATTGAAAACTTATTTTCTAAAGCAGTTTTACAGACTGTGATGATAAAGTTTCTCTTTAATATTGTTTTCTGCATAGCTTGGTTCAAAATCTCAGTTAATACAGTATTCTTGACCTGGACAGAAACTTCTTCAAGAATTAAGTATGTCTGAGAAGTTGTAAAGATTCTGTAATAAATATATCAGCAAACCTGAAGCATAGACTCCTCTTTTACTAAAATACCTTGATATATGCCAAACGAAGAACATTTAAAGGAAAATATGGTCTTATTTATGCATTTGCATGCCCACTTAATGTGTAAGGCAGTTGGAAAATTTCACTTCCCACATTTTAATATCTTAAAATGTTTTGTTTTTCTCCCACATAGCCCCATCCCCTTTACCACCACCACCATCCCCCACCCTGGCCTAGGGAAGGATTTCCAAGTCTCTTACAAACAATTGAAAACTAAAATACTTTGATCTAAAAATTTCACAGCTGTACTCTCTGGAACATCTAGTTTGAAGTACTCCATGTTTTAATTTCCATTTTAGTCCCTTAGTCAGGCTACTGTCTATAATATTTTTATATGTTTTCTCTTCATTAAGTGTAACAGGTGACATGACCTTACCTATGTCACGGGAAAGGAAATCTGGTGGAGGAGTAGAATGTATGTACAATTACTAATATTTAAATGTTCCCTTCTCCCTCAACATGGGGGTAAATATATTTCACAGCTCAGCTGCAGAAAAAAAGAAAGAAAAGAGTATGAGATATTTTACCTTAGTATAGATTTACCTTTAAAAAATGGACACCAAAATAAAGGAAAATTCTTCCTTTAACTATGAGATTAAGCTATGAGAAGAGAATTTATTAATTTTTTTTCTTCTACCTCTCTATGCATTTTGGCTAAAAAAAAGTATAATCTTTCCAGTCTTCTTTCTAACATAGACATAATTTTTATGAATCTTGAACAGTAAGGTTCCAATGGCCTTTGACCATATCATAGAATATGTGACTAATCAGTATTCATTCAACTTTGTTATACATACTCATTGTTATGATGCTACTTGCTGTTTCAGTAGTGAGATTCATGCAATGCAATTTACAAGTTATTTATTTCACATGCAGTGCTTGCAGCATTACCCAGAACACAGTGACTTTAATTGAACTGTTTCCAAATGTCGCCATTTACTAAGGACATGTCAAGAGATAAAGATGAATGCATGATAGATGGGCAGATATAAAGGGGCTTAATTTCCTATTAAACTGCACTAAAAAGTCCATACAACTCGCTTCTACCCACTCACCACTTCTGTCTCAATTTACAGAAATTATAAAGATCTACCTCTTCATTCAAAAATGTATCCTTTCTTTTTTTTTTCCAATTTCTTTTTGTTTCTCTTTTTGATATTCACTTTTTGACAAAAAGACAGGTATCAACCCTTGAGGAAAGATCTTGACACAAGTCAAAGATGTTTAATAATGGAAAAATTTCTTTCAGTGAGAAAGACACTAATTTGTACCAGTTTTATTGCAGTGAGACAAGACAATCTTATGAAGTTCATATTTCCTATGAACTTAAAAATCTGACATGTAACTCCAAGCACTTTTCTTAGAACAAAGACAAGACATACTTGAACTGTAGGCAACATTCCCTTAACAGTTGATAGTAATAGAATTTTTTAAGTATTTTAGTACCAAAAGAATCAGCATGCTCTTAAATGGAAAAAAATACTCCTAGGAAAAGGAAACGTCCTAATTTTTCTGTAGGATTACAGTTGTTTTTTGTACTGGAGAAAAAGGTTTTACTAATTGCAGTGAAATATAGCAAGCAAACTGACAACATATTGCTTTCTATGATCTCCTCACAGATAGCATTACTGTTTGAATGCATTTGATGTTTGAAATGACTCACCAAATGAAATCCTAATTTATATCTTCATTGTCATAATTTGTATTTCAGTAATCCTATAATGGAGCAAACATATTTGCATGGAAGTATCTTTAAAAAATTAAAATTTCCACCATAAAAAATATATTTTTTAACCATGTGTAATTTGTGACATATCGATTCAATTAATCAGGAGTGAGTCAAGTTGTCCAATTTATCAAGAAAAATTTACATATGTAGGTCTCTATTTAATCATCCAATAATTATTAAAAAAAAAAAGAAAACAAGAAAATGTGTTGTGTTTTTTATTTTCCTCATGATATTGCTACGGGCTGCAAGGAGCTATATAGGCAAACAGTGAAAGTCAGTACAAGTCCTAAAGAGCTCTCAGTCAAACACTACTCTTCCGAGACAGCAAAAGAAGGTTCTATCTGAAGCTATTTAGTTCCTCAGCTTTAGTTAGATGAGAAAGTCAGCATTAGTTTATTTTCTGGTAAATTTAGACAAGAAGGAGAAATTGAGTGACTACATGAGGCTCAGAAAATGAAGTGGGAGTATATAGTTAACTAAGTGTTAATCCTACAGCTTTAACAAATAGTTCAGTGGTGTAAACATAATTCTGTACATCCATTGAACATAACTGAGTTACTGGGAATATTTTGTATCTGAAGTTCAAACTGCTTTAGTCAGACAAGAAGCTTTTGTTTGAGAGATTTCTCTTTCTGATTAAATGAATATGAATTACATTACAAGTAATTGCCATAAAGAATTTTGAAATCACCTTCTATATATTTTCTTTACATTTGCAGAAAATATTATTTTTCCTTCTGTCAACACTTCTAGTAGTGTATTCAGCTGACAGAATATCCATTAAAATTAACTAATGGAGGTGAGAACGCGGCTTTCAAATTCATTTTAATCTTGAAACGTTCTCTTTTTGAGTACTTGATTTGAGGGAAACTTTGAAGTATTTCAGATTAAATGAAAATTTTTTACTCTTAGAAAATATTAGTGGCACACAAGGACATAACTTTTTGTGGCTTACAGCTTTACATATATGGGGATTGCTACAAGTGTGTTTGATCTGTTCACATTATTTTAGGTAAACAATGGAGGAGCATTTGATTTCCAAGTGACAAAAACAGGAACACTGATCAAATATGCTAAAGCATGTCCATTTCTGCATGAGAATAAGTCTTGCAAGTTGCTATTCAGAATGTGTCTTTTGCCCATGATGTAGTTTGCATTCTTAATACAGCTCATACATGTCCTGTAAATTTGTCAGTATTTTCATGGGTGTACATTGTAACCAGTATGGGAACTGAATGGTTAAATACACGTCAGATACAAATTTTTAATTTGATTCAAATGAGGGGGAAAAATCCCTCTCTATGTCTAGCTCTTTGGTGTAACTAGGAACAGGATTCAGTAGTAAACGAAGCTACAAGAGGAATAGAAAATTTTCAGGCTTTCCAAAATTCAGTTCCTATGAACACCCATTCTTCTGCACATGCAAGAAAGATTAGAAGTCACAAGAAAACAAAATCCAGTGATTAGATAGAAAGAGAACAGCCATTAGTAGCACCTTTTGGGAAAAGGTGTATGGCATTTTGTACAGATATTGTATTGTGGAATGACACCAGGGAAAGTAATATTCACTTCTTTTCAGTTCTGTGCTTAAAAGCTGTGGTTTGATGCTTGCCAGTAATCCATACATTTATGTCAATGGTACTGTATGAATAAATAGACCCTGGCAATTTATCTTCTTTGGTTCATGTAGTCATAAACTTTAAAACAGATACTAAAGATATTTTACATTTAAAATTTTGCATACTTGCCTAGAATTTTAAGCAATGGTCTTGCTTAAACAGGATAATTATCATACAGTCATAGTTTGGAAGGGAGGGGACCTTAAAAAATCACCTTTCTCCAATCCCCTGGTCATAGGCAGAGACCAGGTTACTCAGAGCCCTATCCAAACTGGTCTTGAACACTTCCAGGGATGGAGCATTCACAGTTTCTCTGGGAAACTTGTTTCAGTGCCTCACCACCCTCACAGTCAAGAATTTCTTCCCTAATACCTAATCTAAACCTACTCTCTCTGGGTTTGAAGCCATGCCCCCTTGTCCTATTACTGCATGACCTTTAAAAAGCCTTTCTCCAGCTTTCTCATAGGCCTCCTTCAGGTACTGGAAGGCTGCTCTAAGAGACCTCTCCTCCAGACTGAATATCCCAACTCTCAGCCTTATTTCATAAGAGAGGTGGTCCAGCCCTCTAATCATCTTGATGCCTCTCCCCTGGACTCACTCCAGCAGGTTCTTGTTCTTCTCATGCTGGAGGCCCCAGAGCTGGATGCAGGTGGGGTCTCTCCAGAGCAGAGCTGAGGTGCAGAATCACATCCCTCAGCTTGCTGGTCACAGTCCTTTGGATGCAGCTGAGAACACATTTGGCTTTCTGTGCTCTGAGTGCACATTGCTGGGTCATGTTCAGCATCTTGTCAACCAACATCCCCAAGTCTCTTTCCTCAGAGCTTCTTTCAATCCATTCTTAATTCCCATAATTATATGGAAAAGAATTTAGCCTAATACCCTTCTAGGATTATTCATAATGGATTAATTGGAAATGCTATTCAAGAGAGTCTGCTTTGAGATTTGCCAAAAGTGAATTTTAATCCAAAATGTGTGGGTGTTACTTTTCTTTGATTGTTTAAATCCCCCATCACATGCCACTGCATAACATTATTACCACTTCTTGCTTCCCAGCAGCAACTTGATGCCATCCAATTCTCCAAGAGAATTTTAAATATTTAGAATACTGTCCAAATATGAACTCATCTGGAACACCAAGAACTACAATTAAACTAATTAAACTCTTTCAATCTGGCTTTTCAAATGATTGAAAATAGGTAGAATCTTTAGCTGAATGACAAAGTCTATAACACACTGCATTCCCTTTTGTTAATTGCAGTTTGTATTGTCAAGATTTTAATGAGCTGATAAACTTGTTCTCCAACACTATTCAACAAATTATGTTGTGTTTATAAGTCCATAAATTAGTATATTGAGTAAGAAAAAAGCCATTAAATTCATTGCATACTTTTCTTTTACATGTATTGCATGCAAATAAGACCAGCTAGAGGAGATTCTGTTGAACAGTCATATCTACTGGGGCAAAATTATAATTATTTTTATCAATTCCACATCTTAAAGTCACATATGTAGGAGACTTATTGAGACACTAATTTGCTATTTAGGACTTGAATAAACAGGAGATAATTTTCTAATGGTTAGAAAGTAAAAGAATGCAAGAAATTGACAAGTCAAAATCAAAGACAATACCAGTCATACACATTGCCCCAGTACAGGATCAGGCCCTTTGTCATTTAGCTTTACACTCTGTGTCCAAGTCATCCGATGTTTATATCTGTTAATTTTTTCCATTTTAAAATAGTCATAAATGCTATCTCACTTGCACCCAGTATATTCACATCTCATAGCTGAACAGGCTTATTGCTATCGGTTTCTGAGTACTTTGAAAGTGTGAACTGTTTAGCAAGACATAAGTGGTGTGCCAAGAGCCTGAAGCATCAGCTCTGAAAGCACAGGCTGCTTCACTGATGGCCTGCAGAGTCCCAGATGCTGGGTCTATGTTACTGTGTAGAGCAGCCCTCAGGGTAGCCTCAAGGCCAGAAGAGCTTGCCATCTACCTTGATTGCTTCTTCAGTCATCCCGAAGGCAAGCTCTGGGGCAAACCTGCTGATCATCCTGGATGGCATTGGGAATTGGTGATGTACCCAACCCATCAGCAACAATATTTGCACGTATGCTTTAGCTATTCTATTTGCCATTTCATTGACATCAAGTAGGGAAAAAAAGAAAATAGTCTGGGGATTATCCCTTGAAGATGCCCTCAGGTTCTTCCCAAAAGGTCTCAAAATGTTTGCTCTCATAAGGGCAACAGGGACTTTAGGCAACCTTAGTTGCCTAAAGATTAAAGATATAATACTGATGATAAAAGATATAATGAATGCAAAATGTGCACCTCTTATTTACAGGAAATATGAAGTCTTCATTTTAGCTACAGCATGGAGGTATTCACAGAATAGATGAGTCTGAAATAATGAAATTATTCCACATAATTTAAAAATGTTATCTTTCTGAAAAGCATGGTGCTGTGATTCAAAGACAGTTATTCTCAATCCATTTATGATGTATGTATTCCTGGCCTGATAAAGCATAGTGCATAAGTTAATGTCAACATTTAACTACTGATGTGGGTAACATGGTGAGGGTACTCCATGCTTACACATTTTATTTCATACGTAAGATAAGACAGGGATAACTACTGCAGCTCATACAGTTCACTTAAGTGTAGCAACACCCTTTTATTGCCTGCTCAGATGTGAATCTACCAGAGCAAGAAACCTGTATCAGTTGGACACTCCACTTTTTGTTTTGTCTCCCTGTGCCCTAAAGTGATACCCTTGAAGTTTCTTTTCTTTCACAGAAAAAAGCAATGTGATTAGAGTACATTGTTTCCTCTGGAATCAAACTAGGTCAGAAATGCACATGAGCTTAAAACAAACAAACAAACAAACAAAAAAGGGAGCTGGAAGTGCAGTCTATGTAGGTATGCCACTAAAATAAACAACTAATTAAAAAAGATAATTCATTAAGTTGATAACTGTGCTGGTTCCATTGGTACCATTCCCTCCTTTGTCCTATCCTGTGGTAAGCATCATGGTAGAAGAGGGTTCTGGATTCAAACAAAGCATAAGTCCAAGAGACAGTCTTCATACTGGACCTTTTGAAAAAAAAAAAAAAAAAATCCAGACCTCAAACCCAATAATTTATAACCAGAACTAGAAGAAAATATTTTTAATGAAAGATGATTTTGGAGCACCCATTACTGCCAATGAGAATGTTCTGTGGTTAGTTTGCATTATGAGACAATAACATGCTGCTTTCTTTTTTTTTTTTTTTTTACTTTTATTAACTGCTATTATTGTAGTGCCTAATATTTTGGCATCTCTAGGGTATCTGACCTAACACAAAATGGCACCTGCTTTAAACTAAGAATATTTTAAATTAGGAAGGTATAAATAATATAACTTAAAAATTGCTTACTAGAGGATCCAAAGCTTTAAGTGTTGCAAGGGACCTCTTCATAAGTACTTCTAGTTAGGTGTCCGCTATTATATTCAATAAATCCTCTTTATAAATAACCTAGGCAATGAAATCATTCTGATTAAATGTACAGATAACAGATTTCAGGTTCAATGGATAACGGAGCTCACCACAGCTACAAAGGTGATTGAAGCTCTTGAAGACATGGTTACTTCATTTCTGTTAGAAAGTGTCCTGTTACATTGTATTTGGTAGCGTATGAAAGAGTGTATATTTACAAAACTGAATGTTTTGTAAAAAGGAGTGAGTTGAAGTATTTGATTATCATATTAGATGATTATCTCATGTACTCTTAATGTAACGCTTGGTGAAATTTAAGATGGAAAATCTTACAGAAGTAGAATTATCTGCTCCATGGTTAGATTAAGTAAGTCTTGTGGTGGAATATAATTTATTCTTACAATATCTACCATTCAACAAGTCATTAGTAACAATTCAAATTATTTCTAAAATTATCCAGAGAGGTGTGAGAAAGACTTCAGATGTCTAGCTTCATAAACTAATACAGCAATCCATAAGAAAACAGATTAAGAAGTTAACTGGATCAAAGAGTGTGAGTGCTTAAATATGGAGCAAATATTTAGATGGAAGGAGAAAGGCTTTCAACATTTCTAAAAAATGAATAAAAAGTCAATAATTGGAAAGGTTTTTTAAAAAAATCAACTCTAAATAAGTAAAAAAATCCTAATAGATTATTACTGAAGATTGTATCTTCAGTATTGCTTGTTATCTCTCAAGCAAAATCTGTGGCCCTCTGATGCAAGTTTCAGACACATTCTTCAGCCCACAAAGCAGAATCAGTGCACTTTTTATCTCTAAAGTACTGTAAATATGAACATTGCTTCTCATTCTTCCTCTTCTGCCTCAGTTTGCATTCGGAGTGATTTCTCCAAGTACATTTAATTGTTTCATCACCATTTGTAAAGCAAATGGCTTTAATCAAATTTCTTGCTTTATGACTGTTCTGGTTTTGTATTTTGGCTTCAGATTTTATGAGGGTTTTTATTTGGCTGAGTTTTAATATCATTGAAGGTGTCCTGTTTGTAACTCGTCAGCCAAACCTCTATTTGGCTCATTTAATTGTCTCTTTGTTGTCCTCACTAATCAGATCTGATTACTTTCACAAGCACTGTGTCTGTGTCCAAGAAGCAATCAATACTATCTGTTTACTTGTGCATAATTTTTTTGTCATCATCATATCACTGAAACCATATCTGCACAGCTGGATCTGTTCTGGTCACTCTTCTGTCTTATTTTTCTCTGAACCCAGACACCAGTCCTGAGAATCTCAAGTCCCTTTCTCTGGCAAAAGGTGTTCTATTCCCATTGTTTTATACTTCAAAAATCTCTACACAGATATTCAGATTTAAAATCCTGTTTGCTTTGAACTCAAGGACAACAATTTATTTCCTCAATTGGTCTCATGCAAGTAAAATTCAGAAATATTCTAGTAAGATGTATAGCTAGAAGACATGCATCACATAAGTATAAACACATTGGATGTTCAGATATTTTAACTAGACATGTTTGCAGCTGCACTTGCGTTTGCAAATACTCTGACACTTTTCTTGTATTTACCACTCAAACCTGGTTTCTCTCAAAGTTTGGAGACAACCAGGACTGACTTTCAAACAAAATTATATGTGTAGCCCTGATCGACATATTGTATTTATAAAGGGATTTTTTACTCTAAAAGAAATTTATACAGTAGGCAAAGTCCTTAAGCCAGTCCTTAGCTTACTGTGTCATTAATATATAATGTGACAGGACCAGTATCAAATATAAATATAATTATGCATGCAGATGAACTTTTAATTTGGTTGCCCTGGATTACAGCAAAGTTAACAGAATTACAATGATGCTATTACAACTGAAATGAAAATAAGATGCATTTTCATGTTGCTGGTATAGAGACCTGGCTTTAGCAGTATTCAAATCCTGCTCCAACTTGATTCATTCACAGAAAATGAGCTCAAAGTAACACCATAAAATGTGTTCGCACTCTCTCTGGGCTTCATACAGCTGCTTTATGGTTTGTTTTAATAAAAAAACATTTTTATTGTTGCAGTATGTGATAAAAATGACATAAATATGACAAATAAATAAATTTGGATAAATATGGCCACATCCTGAGGCCTGCAAGGTACGAGGATGAAGAGGCTCTGTATGAACTGAGGAGATGAGGTGGCCAGTGTAAGACTAGAACTCTGGAGCCCATTTGTTTTTATATATAGCTTGTTTCTGTGTGACAATCAATAGATAATTTGCCCCAGCGGAAAATATTCCTTTATGAACAATTGCCAAGCTTTTATCATAGGATTCACCTCACCTGATTAATTTCTTCTCCAGTGCTAACAGAATTCTATTACTTGGGTAAAATCAGATACATTTGTGGCCTACATTATGTCAAAAGCTGAATTTTTCTTCCTACATGGACATTAGAGGAAGATGTCAGTTAGGATAAATATATGAGCCATACTATGAAAATTATTATTTTTTAAACTAGGGTGTTGAAGATCCTTAATATAAAGCAGACCTCCATTTCTACATAGGGATTTAAGCAAACAGAGCATATTGCCTTTGCATGACAAAATCTTGATTGCAGGACAGGCTGCATGGATGGCTCCTGTGAAAAGACACCAGAAGCTGCCCTTGTGTTGGAAGAAGCCTATTCCAGTAGATTCCAAGATGAGAAGGTAGAAGAGTTAAGAATTAAGTTGAGCCCAGGAAGAAAGGAGGGGCAGCGGAAAGTAGCTTTTGGTTTAATTATTATTTTTTATCCTATTCTGTTTACCAATAATTGGAAATAAATTGAATTCATCTCCCCAAGCCAAATTTGTTTTGCCTGTGACACTAATGGATATGTCAACTCACTAGCTTATCACTGCATTTTCTCAATCTATCTTGTTGATGGAAGAGAAGTGAGAGAGTCACTTGGTGGGCATCTGATGTCCAAGCAAGAACAATCTACCACAGAAAGAAGAGGTCTCTCACTCTCCTTTAGAAATCTCTCATCCCTTCATTACTGATTACATATACATCCAGAGAATGAGGCAGACTTTATTACTTTCCTCTAACATCAGGATCCCAGAACAGAATTTGGAATTCACTGAGACAAAAAAAAAAAAAAAAAAAAAAACCAAAAAAACAAAAAGCCAAAAAAAACCCCCAAAACAAACAAAAACTAAACCAAAAAAACCCCATACTATAATCCAATAAGTGAAGATCTTAACTGGCTTCTGTCTACTCCATCTTACTTAAAGACATATGGAGATTTGAAGTCGGAATCCTTTTTTCAAGATGAAAGTTATATTCCTACAAATGTTTCATAGAACACTATATTGAGATCCCTAAATACATTTTTTTTTCTTTTCTACAGGAAATTTAAAGGCTTTAGATTCCATTCCAAAATACAAGACTGGCATTCAACAAACCAGTTAAGCAGAGCTTAAGAGCCTAGTTCAAGATTGATTTGAGAAAATACCAGCTTATCTACCATGTAGCCAAGTTTTCATTCTTGAAATATGATTTATTTACCAGTCTACTTTTATTTAGTGCCAATTTAGATATGCTAAAGTGTCCCATTTGATTTCTGTTTGCCTTTCTAAAACTGTGTTGAACCTTTTTAGCTGATATCATGTATCATATTTATCAGCCCTAAGAAAACATCTTGTACAACTGGACAGCTGAAAATGGGAGATGAATAAACTGAATTCTACTTTTAGAACCCAAGAGAGAAATTTCTCTGAGTATATGCGGTTCTGTTTGTATAATCCTAAAGGTATGTCCATATCTTTGGTATGAGATGGATCATTTGGTTTATAATTATCTAAGCCCAAAGAAACAGACTTCCTTAAATCATGCCTACCTTACTAACACTTAAATTAAGAGTGCAAATTTTCAGCATGTCCCTGCTAAATCACTAAGTGTTTCACATATTAGAAAGTCTACCTTTAATATTCACCTTTAGCCAGTTTAGAGATGAAAATAAAATGTCAATGAAAGGCTGAAATATTTGGTCTGCCATTCAGAGGAATCTTAACAAGCTGAAGAAAGGGGCCAAGATGAACCCCATGAAGCTGATGAAAGAAAAGTTTTGGGTCCTTTATCCGAAGAGGAATAAATCCACACACCAGTAAACAATGGAGGGTGATTGTCTGTCTACAAAGGAGCTTTGCAAAAAGAATCTAGTGTTCCTGGTAGACCATGAATTGACCACGAATCACAAGTGTCCCAGGAGTGGAAAAAAAAGACTACAGCATCCTGAGCAGGAATAGCATTTCTAGCAGATAGAAAGAGGAGATCCTTCTCCTCTACTTAGCACTATGGAGTGCATCCAGTTTTGAGCTCTCTGGCAGAATACTGGGGACAATCTAGTGCAGGACTGCAGAGACCCTTATGGGACTGGAGCACCTTTCATGCAAAGGGAGCTGGGACATGTAGGACATTTCTCTTTGCAGAAGGTTTGGGGGCACTGCAAGGGATTGGTGCAGGTCTTACCAATGTTTATAAATATTTGATGGGAGTGAATGAAGAAGTGGGAGCCAGATCCTTCTCAGTGGTGCCCACTGACAGTACAGAAGGCAAGAGATAGAAATTGAAAAACAGTAACATTTTCATATTATCACAAGAATAAACAAGTCCAACACTTGAAGAGGTTATCCAGAGAGGCTGTGCAGTTTGCATCCCTCAAGATATTCAAAACCTGAGAGGATAGCGACCTGGGCACCCTGCTGTAGTTGATCGTACTCTATGGCGGAGTGTCCATGTTGTCCAAAGGCCCGTTAGGACCTCAATGATTCTGTGATCTTACTAATCAGATACTTAACAGTGGACTATTAGAATTGAGCCAAATGAAGCTTTAGTGGAGAATGTACAGTCTCTTACCAGCTGAACTACACTAGACTGGGGAATATACCTTGCTGTTTGATCAGTCATCTGTGTTTTAAAACTGTTTCTGTTGAAATGAAAACAATATTTCAACAACTTTCATCATTGAAATTGCACAAAAAAACTATAGAGAACAATCTTTCATTGGCAGACGTTGGACTTTGTAACTTATGATATAATTTTTAAGTCAAATTTATTACTATATCAACAAAAACAAAACAAACAAACAAACAAAAAAAACCCAAACCAACACTTGCTCTAGTAATTCATTATACCATGGAGTCGGTCCCTTTAATATTGCAAAACTGCGTAAGTAATGACATCTTGTATTAGTATTAGATCTGCATTTATAGAACAATTGCTGTTACTGCTGTTATGTTTTATATTATACTTGTCTATGAAAGTTGGGAGGTGTTAATCAACTGAACAATGCTGGTTTAGCAGACATAAGATAATAAAAGGACAGGTTGATAACAATCATTACTTTAGAACTAATAAAATCTGTTGTGTGTAATTTACTTATAAAAGTTAAAGCTCGCTGTAATTGGTCTGTCATTTTTTATTACTGAAAAATATGCTCCTGTTCTCATTATAAGACTTGTTGTTGCAAGGCAGTTTGTAGGTGCCATAGTCTGGCTCAGTTTGACTTCGCAGAAAAATTATAGATGTCATCTCTAGGAGAAGAAAACCAGAATGGGCTGTATGTGCTCTTTTTACAATGTCTTCAGCAGGCACACATTATTAGTAGAGAGGATATCAGCCCAAAGTTTCTTAGCTGCAAAAAAGGTTTAGGGAATTTCATTGCATATATTTAAAGACTAAGTTGAATTGTTAATATATGAAAGTTTTAAAGCTAGTTCTTGAGGAACATATGACAGATGGTGTAGTTTCCCCCCCTCACGCAGCCCCCAGAATGCTCCGACTAGCTCAGAGATAAGGGGTTGTGAGGGGAGGAATATCAGGAGAAAGGTAAAGGTATTCAAAAGAGGCTCTCACCCCAAGGTATGTTGGTACTGCCCTCTTTATTCTGTGATGTCCATGTGGAGAGCGGGGCAAAAGAGAATGAACAGGAAATGTCAGGGGGTCTATATAAGTTTTGGACAGGGCGGGCTTTCCTGGCTCTCCGCCAGCCCCATTGGGGCAGGAAGAAGGGGTCCAGGGGTTATCTTGATCAGAGTCACAGGGTCCTGGGGAAGGGGAATGATATGAAGTATGTCCTTGCAGAGGTCTTCCATTGTATTTCACGACTGAGAGATATTACCATTATGTCCTTGTCCTTTCCATTTTTCTCACTTCTGCCTATGATTTTTGGAAAGCACTTCCTTTATTTAAGTGCTCTACTGGATAAAAGAAGTCAGAAGAAACTTCCAGGAGGATGAAGTGAAGGCAAAATATGTGCTGAAGAGAGTGCCACCATAAATAACAAAATAATACGAGGTCTACTGTTAATAACTCTGAGGTCAAGACTCACAGTTTAATTGTATTACAGATTCATCACACTCTGGTCAGTTTAGGATGTAGTTGTGAAACAGGAAAATAATTGTTGCGGTAAAATGAAAAGAAAGGAAGTAAAAGAAATTGCCTTTGGATTCAGAAAAGTTATTTAAAAATAGGAAAGCAAAATACTACTTTTGTAAGTGTTGCAAATTATTTTTTTTCTGTCTTGGGGTTATTAAATTCCAGCACTGACTGCTTGTGATATTTCAGTAATCATCTGACTGGTGACAAAAATTATAAAAGTATTAAAATATTCCTGTTTTCCTACAAAAAAAAAAAAAAGTGGCTGATAGACCAAAAAAAAAAAAAAAGGGGAATATAATTAGCGGCATGGATCAGATGCTACATCTCTTATTTTACAAAGCAGCACACTTAGCCATTATCTAGTGTTTGTGCTTTTAATCCAATCAGTACAAGATATGTAATTTTTGAAAACAAAGTGGCATGTTTCATATGACTGTTATTATTGTCCCAGAAAATTGATAATAGAATCCCAGAATAATTTCAGTTGGAAAATACACTTAAGATTATTGAGTCCAACTGCCACCTAGTACTGCTGTGTCTACCACTAAACCATGTATGTAGGTACTTCTTTTACACACCTTTTAAATACCTCCAAGAATAGGGACTCAACCTTTTTTAAATCTTTGGCTCTGCAAAAGGTTTAAATAGCAGAAAAAAATTGCTTTCTCACAATGCAGAATTTAACTGTGGAATTTCTTGACATGAGGGAAAAAAAAAAAAAAGAAAAGATAGAACAAATTTATAAAATTAAAAACAATTGAGTCAAATTAGAATTGTCAATGTATATTTGAAGGGGTTTTTGTCCAGGTATGACCTCAAAGCAATCCTTACACTGGTGGCTGAAAAATATTAGAGAATAAAATTGACATATGCATGACCTTTCCCTCATACTTCTGCTCCTGGCATAAAATTATGTTTTGAAGAAAAATACCAGAGGTTCTTTTTGGTCCAGCAAGGTCTTTACTAACTGTATAATGATCTGGGAATGTAGGAATTTTATTCTTACCTTCATATTATGAACTATTTTATTCTACTTTTTACTATAAATCTATAGTAAAAATTTTGGATTAGATATAAGTTGCATTTTAACTTTGTTTTTTATTTATATAATGCTAAATATTTACTGATTACTTAATAGTATTTTTACTTGTTTATTAGAAGCTTTTACTTTTCCATATAATCACAAGATTATTATTAAATATTAAATTTTCTTACACTATTTTGTACATCACTTTTGTACTTCTTCAATTTTAGTTTAATTTCATGTTGCACATTTCAGCTGTACTTCAGGTATTGATACTTAATATTTTTTTTTTCAGTTTCCATTCTTTTGAGGCTTTAATGCAAGTATGGAACAGTCTGCTTGAAGCCAAAGTGGCATTACCCCATTATTTTTTATTGAATATGTTATATTGAAAACAGCAAATAAAATTTTCATTTCTATGAACTCTGTAAGTGAATGTTAAAGACCCAAGGGCCTAATAAAATTCTTACATGAATCAATGATTTGAGATTACTTTGGAGAAAAAGGTCTTTTCCAACCTAAATAATTCTACCGTTCATTGATTTACAGTAACATCAAACAGTTTTTCTACCTTCTTGGCTACTCTCAGAAATCTTTTACCCTTCTTAAATGACACCAAATAACATCAAATATTTCTACATCAGTTACAGTGAAATGAAATTCTTTTATTATGCATGTAGAGTTAGGATGAGTGCCCTTCTCCCATCCTTTCTACTATCTCCAGGTACAGATTTTAATTTTTGAATTTGTTACCATTTCTGTAGGGTACCTTGATGGAAAACCTTATTAACACCTGCAAATATATGCACATTCTAACAATTAGATCTTCATTATTCTCAAAGTTTAGGGATATATTAATACCAACATCTTTAATGTGCTTACAACTGCTCTCTGATTTGAGCTCAGAAAAGGGCACAGTTTTTGTTTCATATTCTCCAAAACATGTGGCTCCATGTTGACAATGCTCTCTGGGGATTGTGTCAGCTTTTAAATTGTAAACAGGACTGTGACAGTTGGCATGAGTCACTAGTTTTCCACAGCGTATTCTAACAGTTTATTGGTAAATAAAATCGAGCTCCATTGCCTAGGAATGTTCCCAAAGTAGCCACTGATTTTTTTAGAATACTGTATTGATTTTAGATGGAAAGTATGCTCTCTTTCTATCTCCATTCATTTTTTTCCCTTTTCCATCTCCCTCTCCATCTCTCTCTGTCTCTTCTCTCTCTCTCTTCTTTTCCCCCCTTCCAGTCTTAGAGTTCTACAGTTTGCCTCAAGTTAAATCAGATTTGTCAGTTCATTTTCCTAGTTCTCTCCTGGAGTCTTTTAAAATTGATGTCCTATTTGATCCTTTCCATCCTTATGATTTTAACTAGAAGTTAGCAATTTCATATTTAATTACCTTTAGTGTTCCTGTCTGAATATCATCTCTTCATGTCAATGTCTTATTAATATTTTTATTGGTTTATCTTAGTAGTCATTTACTGACACTTTAATTTGAGACAGTTCCTAAAGTGTTCCTTGATTAAAAAATGGAGAACCACTATGAAGATACATTAGGAGTACAAATACACTACATTTTTAGCTGTTCTGCTATACACATTTCTTCCTTGAGTCTTTAGCACTTGTATCATCTTTTGAACCTCATTAAATATTTGACTGTGTTCCTGACTTCCTGTGCTCAAAAATACTCTATTGTATGTTTTAATGATGTTAGTAAGTCACTCCTAAACACTTTAAAACAGCTACATTTATCTCAAAAAAAATATACTATCCTATTCTACATACATACTCCTTAGTTGCCTATCAACTAACAACTTCTGACTCTCTGCTGAGAGTCTGAGACACAGCTGGATCCAATTGGTCATTGAACCCAAACAACCTTCACCAGAATCCAATCAAGCAATCACTTCTGGTAAACAATCTCCATACCAAATTCCACATGGAGAAAACAAAGGAACAAAGATAAAGATTGTTTTGTCTTTTTCTCTCTGTGCTGCTCCTGAGAGACAGAATTATCTCTCTCTGTCCAGAGAATGTGAATGCCACCGAAATGGTACTGTCTGTAAAGGAGTTTGACATCCAGACTCCAGATCTTGGCCTTTTTTGATTTCAAACATGTATGAAGTCAATTGAATATCTTCATCATGAAGTTAGCATAGTACATTCTACTCGATGTCTCAGATAGAAAGGAGCATGTGAAAAACTACTAGAGCTGGATAAGCAAGAAGGAGCATGTGTATCTGTAGAGGAGAGAGACCACTGTGAGTCAGGAGTTCTGCTTCTTGTTCTATTTGTATAAATAGGTGCTGCAGTTTAGACCCATATAGGGAATTATTTTATAGCTAAAAATTCTCCCTGCTTCTGACCTACTGCAGGGATTTCTGATGTCTGAAATACAGAAACAGGTAACAGCAGTAGGTGTTAACTCCCTTTGAAGCAGCAGCTTTACAAAAGGAGGTTCTTTGAAACAGACTGTTGACAGTAAAAGAGAAAAGATTTAAAGATGGCATAATGGTGAGTCAATTCCTTTTTTTTTTTTTTTTTTTTGTATCCTCTGCACCCCCACTCCAAGCACAGTTCTTTCTGGCCTACAGCTGAGTGACTGTCCCAGTTCCTGCTTTCATGTTCACCCCTCCAGAGGAGCCTGGTTCTTTGCACAGATTCATTACAAGGCAGTCTTCTGTTTCACATAATCTTGTTCAAAGTGTGTACTAAGCTAGTATAATAATTTCTTTATCTATATTCTTGGCCCAACCTTCCAGAAGCCATTGTGAAATCAGTATTTGTTTGTAAGTGTAATTAAAACATTTTTTAAAGGCAAAACCTATTCTATTTCAGGGAATTTGATTGTACTTCTCAGTTGCTGGTTTTCTCAAGAGGGCAACAATGTAAAATGGTTGCGCTTAACTTTTCTTGCTTGAATGTCAAGTTCATTATAGATTATGAGCTAATACATAAATAAGGAAAGAAATATGCATGGTTTTCAATTTAGAAACAGCTATTTACTTTAGTAGGTGCCAAATTTCGACATAGTCATTATTCCATTGTTTCAAGAAGTTTTGGTGTTATGTCATAAACTCCATGCAAGTTTCTTACTAAACTAGTTCAAGACACCAGCTGTAGAATAAAATCAAACATTGAGACTGAGCAAAAAAAAATTCTGATTTGCTTCAAACCCCTTCTTCCACTATAAAATTTATAAAAACTGAACTTACAATGCTACCATGAAACATGAATCAAAACTCTGTATTAGATGAAGGATAAGGGGAGCTTGAAGCTTTAGTATATCAGTTAGTGGAATAATACAATGATTTTTTTTATATATGAACAATTTTTATGAGTCTTGAGAAACATAAAACTTGGGCTTGAAGTACACCTAATAGCTCTAAAAATAGAGAGTAAATATACAGCAATGGAGTGTTCAGTGTGTTAAGCAACCATTTAAATGATGCCATTCTGAAGCACAAATTGGTTTATTTTTTGTTGCTTCCAAATGATTTTAGGACAAATACTTTTTATTGATGTCTATGAATAGTAACTGACATTTCAAACTAAACCTTAACTCTGCAGATTGTTCTTGGTTAGATTTGTACATGACTGAAGGCTCACAAAAATGTCCTGTAATGAAAGCATTTTACAGTGGTTGAATATCAATGTGCAGTATGCAAAGTTCATTATAATGCTGAGCATACTAGGAAATGTGTCAATTTGTAATGTTTATGGCTGATAATGTCATCAGAATAAGTTCCGATTTATTGGCACATGCACAGCAAGAGGAAGATGACACTTAAATAAAATTAGTGTTTTCACATTTCTTTTTAGAGGTTTGCTACATAATAGAAACAAACACTTATCATTAAGAAGGCTGAATTAAAATTTAGTGCAATAACCATGAAAATATTGTTATTCACAGCATACCTGCAATGTAATACATCCTGTGCAGTATGACTCTCTGGAGAATTACTCCTTATCTTCCTTTGTTCATTCACTTATATTTCAGACTGCACTCTATTCCAATATCTTTATTTAGGACAATAGCAGAGCTACCAACTCCAGCTGTGTTTTGAGAATGACTCACAGAACTTTAGGATCTTAGATGTTCAAAACAGATATCCCTACTGAGCAGCTACCCAGAAAGGCATTAGGCATTTTGACAACATGTTGGAGTGTAAGAAGTTATTACAATTGATATGTGGGAAAGGAGATAAGAAACAACTCTAACAACAGGCAAAGAGACTCAGCTGCTAAAAGAAAATGCCAAAACCACAAGTCAATGCTACTTTGCTTTGTGGCAGATAGACATAATTTGTTTCTTTTCCAGAGAGGAAAGGAATGCCTTTGTTACCCTTTACTCAAATCAAACTTGAACGATATCCAAGGTACCTCTGTGCATTTTTGATAACAAAAAAGAATCTACAACTTTTTTTGTTTTAGGGTTTTCCCATTACTGTCATAAACAAGATGCATTTTCAAAGCTAACTTCAGTATTTTTGAAACATTTTCTTTCTGTACCAAAGCAAAGTTTAAAAATATGGTTTACACTTTGGGGTTATGTATAGATAATCATATTCACCATCCCAACACTGTGATTCCTATCCTTTCCTCCCTGTTTTCAGGTAACAAAACAGAAGAGTGATTTTTTGAAACTAATTGGGATATGCTTCTGCATTATAAAAAACTTTACTGATGAAAACAGAATTATTTTGGAAGAATAATCTAAAGAGGAGATCCTCAAGACCATACTCAAACTACTGTCTTAGGTCTGAGTCCTGTGTTAAGGTTTCTGACTGTCCTTATCCATTTCAGCTTAGTTTATCCTTTCAGGGAAGATTTTAAAGCTTCTGCTTATGTGCAGAGATGATCTAGCAAGAACAAGAGCTTGATTCTCCACTGCTGCTCTCACAAGTTAGAGTTAGGTTCAGATATGTTTAATAGAAGGGTCTCCTCTGAGATGCTTGACATACAGAAGTTCCCAAATACAAGGTTAAGAATTGTTCAAACCCCCAATGTTGTAGCTGTAGGTCAAAGAGGGTTTTGCTGCTTGGTCACCACAATGGGATAGAGTTGACTTCAGCTCTCTAAAGCTGGAGAAATCACCTCTCTGTCAGTAACAGTTTTCCTGTGCTATCCATTACATTACAAAGACAAGTAGAAAGGATCAGGGTAAATGCTGAAAAATTTTACTTAAAGTTTTTCCCCCCCCCTTTTTTTTTTTTTTTTTTAATGGAAGGGAAGACACAGCTGGAAATAACAGGAGATTCACATGTTAGTAATTAATAACAATTAATTAACATCAATTCTTAAAATGAAGAAAAATCTGGAGCACTTATTTGAAAAAAATATGACACCATCAACACATCATGGGATATAGGTTCCTCCATCATTATGACCCTTAATTTGAAAGAACTGATGAGTTGTTTATGCCGAAGGAGATGGTTTCTGCAGATTTGAAGACCTATCCTGGGATATGTTTTGTAAGATATTGCTCATCCTTAGCCCTGTTAATAGTTAGGATGAGGTCAAAACATTCTTGTCTCCTTCTTCTAAAAAGAGATGTAGATAAGCTGTCTTGAATTAGGGATATGTTGTACACCACTCTCTTCCTTAGAGCCCAGAAATAGAGGAACAAAGGATGTAAGTACTTTTGTCTCTCTCAAGGCTGAAAGATAAAGAAGCATCCTCAGACACTGAAAGCCCAACTACTTGGTGGACAGTGTGTACTACGTGTTTTATTTACACTCCTTATCAATTTCTTAAGAACCAAAAATTAATGAGACCTAAAGCTGGCTGCTCTCAAATCTTCTGTGGCCAGAGAGCAAGTTCACTTTTCAGGCTGCAGCAGTGGTACAGGATGGCTCATGTAGGTAACAGCTGTCCAAGGGAAGAGAAAGGAGTCTGCATGAGGATTTCTGGTCTACTAACTCAGGTTGCTTGCCAGCATGTCTGTGTCAATTCTTCATTACTTCTGGCATACAGTGCTTGGGGGAGAGTTGAGCAGGGAAATCTCATGAAATCTAAAATAGCCTTGAATAAAATAAGTAGATTGTTTTGTACTGCATACTTTAAATGTCTAAGAAACTGTTGAGGATATATCAACAACCTTCTTTCTTCTCTGAAATTTAATCTGACTAAGGTATTCCACATGATCAGTCCTTCCTCTCAGATATCCAGAAGAGATTTGTTGTTGTGTGTGCCTGGGGCAAGAAGATGCATCTATTTTGCTTTGGGCACAGTGAGCTCCTGTGCATGCAGCAAATAACCCTCAGTATGTTTTCTGGCAAGGGTTACCACTACAGGACTATGACTGCTGTCCAGGATTTTGTTTTTCTAGATGAGAAATGTTGGAGCAGGGCAATGTGATTTAACCTATCTGCTCAGAGCAAAGGCAATTATTTATTTCTCTCCCTCTCAATCCTTCATGGATGTGGAAAATCTATTAAAGTAAACTTTACCTTTGCTGTTGCCACCTGCCCTTCTCCCACTGGAACCCTGTCTTCTTCTATTTCTATCTTCACTATCAAGGAATTCTAATATATTTGGCAACTTGCACTGTTTTCAAAAACACAGAAAAAAAATATCAAAGGTCAAGTGAGGAAGAGGAAGGACTGGATCAGAAAAAGTCAAATCTACCCAGAAGACCACCTGTTCCCACCCTCTGTTATTTTTGGCAATATGTAGCAGGTGCAGGTTTGCAATGTTATTTCAGCAACAGCCAGGGTTTTAAAGCATTACCAACCACGTAAACACACGAGTTCTGGTAAAATTCATCCATCACAGCAGCTTCAGCTGTGCACCTTTCCTAGCAAACTGTCCTGTAAAGCAAAATTATTCCTCTGAATGGGAGAAATATTTGTTGACCTGAAGGCATCTGCTTAGAGAAAAATTGTGATGGCTGTTCTGGGAAGTGTGTCTAACAAATTTTAAACTCAAAATTTTGACCTTTTAGACACTTGCAGTATATGGTGTAATTTCTTCAGGCTAAATCTAGATGTATAAAGCTAAAGTAAAGCCAGTTAAAGCAAGTTAAACTCTAGTCACCTAACTATTGTCCAATTTTCTGCTTCAACCAAGATTAGCTACAATAAGACAGACAAGTCTAGACAAGGCCAAGCAAATGCTTAAGCCTTTATATACCTCTCATGAATGAGTGTTCTAAGGCTGTGTAAAGAATCACGATCAAAGGTATTGGCAAAACCAGGTTTAATATCAAAGGGGGAGCATGACAAAGTTTGCTGGCAAGATTCAGTCTACATTTTACTACATGGTTACAGCACACCAAGAAAAACAAGAAAAAAATCTCAAATTAATAGAAACTCAAGATTATCTATGTGGAGATTTGAGGGGGTGGTGGGGGTGGTGGGATAAGACAGGAAGAAAATTATAGGAAGTGATAATGAAAAAAAAAAATATGGAAGACCTTTCTGTTGAGTCACAAGTTTCAGAGTAGATGCCTGTGCTAATTGAGCCAAGATTTGACTCATTATGCCCAAAGGCCCAACAGCATTTAAAAGCATTTAAACTTAACCGCAGCTAGTACAAGGATGTGGTCCATTAATAGTAAATCAGCACAATACAGAGCTACACCATGTTGAACCTGCTAAGGCAGTACATGTCTCTCATAAAGGATTGGACTTTACAGAAAACACTAGCTGTTGATTCCAGGATTTAATGTGTTTACTAAAAGCTGTGCTAAGCATCACACACCTTCATTGTCACAATTATTTCAAAATCATATTCAATAAATCAACTGCTAAATCATAACAGTTGTATATAAGGGAAATAATTTTAAACATTATAGATTAATGTGTTCATTTGTGTTTTTCTTCAACAGTCAAATAACAGGGTTGTGAGGCTTGTTTGGTAAATATTTTTTACAAAAAAGAAGTGTTATTTTCATGCCACTAACAGGCTTAGCTAAAGACTGTACACCATTTATAACACCTTAACCACAAACCTTGTGTTTTCATGAACTGTGTTAATTTAAAATAAATCCTCTGCTGAGCTGATTAGGAAGGTGTATTAATCCCAAATAATTCCATGTTGAGCTCACTTCTTAGATGATGGGCCTAAATTCCCATTGTTCTGAATCTTTTGTGCTTGTTTATATGACAATGTTGGAAATACTACTAAAAAGATTACACCAAAAGTTACTGTGATTACTTACACATGTCATATGATAGAGCTACATTCTTCCTCCAAATCCTCAATGTGTGGTAATGTGTATGTAGTAGATGCTGTGTACTCAACCCTGATTCTGTACCTCAAAATGGAGCGGGTAGGATTAGTGGTGCTCCTGAATAATACCCCGAGGAAAGCCAAGTAACAAATTACTTAGTTTGAATGAGAAACATGCAATTTATGAAATCTTAAATAAAAAAAACAATCTCTCCATTCACAAGGAACACTGAAGAAATTCTCTCTAGGATAAGAGAAAACTAGAGCACTTCAGTAATGTAACCCTTATTATATTACATCCAACTCCAGCTGAATATTCTGAGACTAATTTTCCCCTCAGACAAACATAATGAAGACAATATATACCAATAAGTTTACTTACAAAGAAGGCAAAAAACAAAAAGTTTTTTATGAATATATGTGAGATCATATTTGTTTGCAAATAAGAACTATAAGATTTTATTCTTATAGTACTTTTTTGAAGTATGCATAAATGTCTTTAGATTTTTTTTTTTTTTTTGCTTTTCATTGCTAAAATACCACTATAATTTGTAATTGCCAGTATAGAAAGGTGCAGTGCTGCACTTAGACCATATAGTACTGCCTTAGAGGAGTTCCAAAGCAGTGTATACACCATTTGACCCAACCTACAGTACCTACAGAATCCCAGGGAATGATTTTCTAAGTACCACTTAGAGTTCCACTTCTACAATCAATTAATATAGGCAACCCAGACAAGTCTCCTTGTACCTACAGATGCGCATCCACTGACAAGAGCACCTGATATAATACCAGATGTTCAGCAGTCAGGGCTAAGTTATTAGTCACTTCCAGATCATAATTCAAGTTGAGTTTTCAAATATGCAAAAGCTATGCTAGCAGAACCAACATGGTAAATTACTTAAACTCTTACTGTAGCATTGTCTTATGCATCCCTTTTCTCCATCCATCCATCTTCCATGTCTCTTTTTGAATGTGTATGGAAAGTTACCTTAGGAAGAAATGCAAGGTTTAAACAACTGTTCCAAGAGCAACAGTTTAAAAAAACTGCATTCTGGGCACACTGTTCTAAATTTTGCTTACAGAGGCTGAGCAAATTTAGGGCAAGAAATGAGCATTTATAATCTATCAAAATATTATTAAGCCATGCAGTGTCTTTACTGGTAAGGGAGGAAAACACCTGTAAATATCAGTTGAAGTTTAATCACTATAATGAGTTTTTGGCACATTTTCAAAACACCTGCTAGTAATACTGCAACATCCTTTCTAAGACAGTGAATTGCTACTAATTCAGTTCTAATTTTGTGGATAATATCAGTTTGTCAGTAGGCTTGAACTCCTTAGGGCAAATAGTTTTGCATTATCACGTCTAGACTACTTTATAATTTGTTAGAATGGTATAGCTTCTGAAGGAATATCATAATTTACCAGGAAGTAAACATGAAGAGTCCTGCTGTACAAGTGATCTGTGGGTCTGTCATGGTCAGGCAACATAGAGCAGTCTTGTTTCAGCATTCAAATACTGTAGCAAATTTTCATTTCTACAACAATAAGAAACATACTTACAACTTGGAAGTTTAACTACAATCTAATGTACTTAAGATAATTTTCTGCCATGAAATCTAAAAACTCTGTCTTTTTACGTGCCACTGCCTTCCAGCCAAAAAAACCTTTGTTAAACTGCAAAGAACTCATTCTCTTCCATATCTTTTCAGTAACTTTTTTCTGTGTCAATCTTTTTCCAAATGTTCTTAGAGAAAGCAATTTAAGTAAAGCAAAACTATAAATTGCATGTCAGGAGTTATTAGAAAAAGAATGAAGTGCAAAACATAGAAAATTACTGTGCCATGGAATAAATTTATGTTTCACCTGCTACTTAAATTCTGGTTTCCTATCTCAGGGATATAAGAGGGATATAAGAGCAGGTTGAAAGGTCAGGTTCAAGAAGGTCTCTACATTATTCACAATGATGGGCCTTCTTGCATCCAAGAAGCAACTAAATGAACTGGGACTATCAAGCAATCAAGGGAGATATGATATAGGTCTACAAAGTCAAGGTGGTTATAAGAGAGTGAATCAAATATATTATCAGCAATTAAATAATTATGATGATAATAATAGCAATAGTAGTAAAGGCCACAATTCCTCCTACAATATCCACTCTGGAAAGATGACAGTTTAAACTAGTTGAAGAGCAGACTAGATGCGTGTAAGGAAGAGAAATCTAATGGTACACAGAAGTGAGGGAGGCTTAGAAAGCTTCCAAAATGGTTATGGATTGACAATGCACAAAATATGCCATACATACTAAATTAAGTCTCCTATCTTGTAGTTTTTAGCTGCTAATATAGGCAAGGTTTGACGTAAGCCAGTAGAGCTGTTTTTACATGCTCTGTGACTTTTCCTGCCATTTCTTCCAGTGCCTCTAAAGCCTTTCAAACAGGCCTACAACTTCTTTATCTGCTGTCACTATTCTGATTTTGCTGTAGCTTTTCATGATGTATGCAACTGGAAGCTGTCACAGGTAGAAGTGGAGACCATTCACCATGGCAGAAGAAGTGGAAATCATTCACCAGGGCAGTGGGGGAAAATTCACTGCATTATTATAAAGTTATAATTTTATGAAGTTCATGCTCTGGGAACGCAGACATTGAAAAACATTCCATAGGTCCATTGCCTGTTATTTGGTTCAAGTACAAGAATATGTTTATGATGAAAAAGAAACAAGCCAGTAAAACATGCTGATTTATACTGATCAGAACATGACCAGTATTTTCACTTCATTACAATGAGATTTTGGCATCATGGTCCTCCATAGCCCATTCCTTTGTAGAGGGCTATTGAACTAAGTTATTTTTATTCTTATGAGCAAGTGGTTATTCCATCCAACGCTAGTTAATTTCTCTAATCATTCATATTAAAATCAAATGTAATCTTATCACTGTTGGTCTAATTTGCATAATACTCATCAAAGTAATTTCAAGTATTTTTGAAAGGCATTCTAGCTTCAAGAGGTTACTTTCAAGATTCTGTGTTTTTCCTGTACCTGCTTTTCCTTTTTCCCAGCTTTTTATTTTCCACTATTCTAACTAGTACTTTTTTGTTATTACTCAGGTTATTATACATGAATAGTCAACAATATTTTATAATGCCTTAAATAATTACTCTTTCAGATAATCGCTGTATATGTAAATACACCATGCATGTAAATAACTAGGGTTTCTGAGCCCTGAACAAAATCTGAGAGTGTATATTGCTATCAAACATTACCTGTTCCATTACTGATTGAAGTGTTTTATTAATATTTTTGTGTTAGTATTTAATTTTTAATCAATATATATGCAAGTCTTATTTATTTATTTTTAAATTTTGAGTAGCTGAAGTAAAACAAAAAAATGTCTTTCTTTAATGTTTTCTTGGAATGGTTCAGGTTGGAAGAAACCACAGAGGGTTGTCCAGTCCAAGCTCCCTGCTCAAGCAGGGTCATCCCTGAGCACGTGGCACAGAATTGTGTCCAGATGGTTCTTGGATATCTCCAATAAGGGAGACTCTGCACAACATCTCTGTACAACTTGATCCAGTGCTCAGTCACCCACACAATAAAGAAGGTCTTCCTTATACTCAGGTGTAACTTTCTGTGCATCAGTTTTGGTCCATTGCCTCTTGTCCTATTGCTTGGGACCACTGAAAAGAACCTGGTCCATCCATTTGACACACTCCCTTCAGATACCTACATAAATATCAATATATTTTTCAGTGGTCTTTGGCCTGCAAGACTTAAAGCAGTTTTCCTCACTAAAGTAGATACTGTGATTATCAGAAGTCTTAGGCCTCAGTGGAAATATGTTTTCTAGAAAGCACATATAGATAACAATAACCAGTGAAGTAAATTACCATCCAGCCAATGTCACTAACTGATCTTGCAACAGTAAGAGATATAACAGTTCCATCCAAGAAAATAATTTTTTTTTACTAACAGGCTGCCTAAAGGCACCTACACCAACAACCCCAAAAGAATAGTATCTTTGGTGCAGAATGCCACCTTATCACTAAGGTACTACCAAGAAGTTAGTCACCATACTGGAGATTGAGAGCTACTTTATGTACCTTTTGTTACTGCATATAAATACTGCTAAGGACTTGAGTTTGAGACTGCATACCCGCTTCAAAACTTACATTCTTTAATCTTGTTCTTTGAGAGAAACAATCTTTGCTCATT